TTCGAAGAGCACAAGGAGCGCTACGGGGTCCCGGCCGACCGGCACCTCGTCCTCACCTAGGCGCGCCGGCGCCCCCCACCCCTCCCGGCCCCCTATGACTGTGGATGGGGGTGAAATTAAAGGCGGGGACAGACTGGCGGTGTTTGTGTGTTTTGCCCAGAGGGGAGGTCTGCGCGCTCGACTCAGCCCTGCCCCACCCTCGCCTCCTCCCTGCTCGGCTCCACTCCCGATCAGACAGTCTCAGTTGGGCTTCTGGGCCCCCCAGCTGCTGGGGCCCAGCCCTCGGCTCTCCAGCGTCATATTAGTCTCCCACGGTAGTTGCCTCACCTCCCTCCCACAGCCCCTCGCTCCTCCCAGACCCGCCCTGCAAGCCAGCCCAGACTGACTGACTCAGGAAGCTCAAAGATCAATCCGAGAACAGCCTGGACAGGTCCGACTCCAACCATCTCCCCGTCCACACCCCCCTCCACACACACACACATACACACTCACACCGCCCCACCACACACGCAATCCCGGAGGTCCAAAAGGCTCGGCCCCTTGGACTAGAAAGCCTTCCCAGGTACTTTTTCTTCTGCGGTCCTGGAGCGCTGCTGGCCCAGGACTGCTCCTGGGATAGGAGTCTCCTCCACCTTCCTGCCGCCCTCTCCTGCACCATGAAGACCCTGAAGAAGCAGTGGCTGGAAGTAGTGGGTGCCTACCAATTCGTGCTCACTTTCCTTTTCATGGGTGAGAGAAGTGGAAGAGGCATGGGTGCTGGGGGTCAGCAGGGGGAGAAGGGACTGGGGGAGAAAAGCCGGAGCGCCACTAATCTGGGTGCCCAAGAGCAAAAAGACAGGGAGAGGGCCAATGTGGGGCTGGGAGATAGCGGGAGGGTATGATCCCTGAGGGTGGAGGAGAGGGACAGCTGGATGACATGACTGAGTTTCAAAGGCTAATTCATTTTTATTTTCTCATCTTTTACACAGGCCTTTCTTCATTCCTTCTTGTCTTCTCCCTCCTCTTCACATCCCTCTGGTCATTCTCTGTTCTCTACTTGGCATGGCTCGTCCTAGACTGGAACACACCCAACCAAGGTGAGTACTGGAAGGGGGCCATGTATTGGGAGATGGCAGCTGGGCTACCTCCACGCATATCTCTCTACCCTAAGGTGGAAGGCGGTCTAAGTGGATAAGGAACTGGACCATTTGGAAACACCTAAGGGATTATTATCCTATCAAGGTGACTGGTTACCCTCCAGAAAGACTCTCTGCCTCCTTCCTCTCCCCTGCCTCCCCCACCTATTCACCCCTAGTAGTGCAGAAGCCTGAGCCCCAGCTGCCTAAGCTAAGGCAATGGGGCAGGGGTGGAGTGATGTTCAAGAGTAGCCCCTCTGTGCCCTTAACCCCATCCTTGATCTCTGAAATCAGTTGGGGTGAGGGCGGGGGCAACACTTTTTACCTGGTGTCCTGACTTCTATGCCTTCTTCTCCTCATCCTGCCCAACACCCCAAAGCTGGTGAAAACAGTAGAGCTGCCCCCTGACCGGAACTATGTATTTGGCTCTCATCCACATGGGATCATGTGCGTCGGAACCGTCTGTAATTTCTCCACCGAGAGCACTGGCTTCTCCCAGAAGTTCCCTGGGCTTCGGGCCTCACTAGTTGGGCTGGACGGACTCCTCCGCATTCCAATCTATCGAGACTACCTCATGTCCACTGGTGAGCCTCCATGTGAGTGGGAGGAGATGCTCTCTGGCCGGGGTGACCTCCACCCACCTAGCTCAGAGACCTGGTCTGAACACTGGCCAGGATCACAGTGGGCATCAGTGAATAGCTTTGGAGCAAGTGTCCTATGGTGTCCTTGCTGGGACAGACACTATAGGGCACAGTGACATGGGCATGGTGGGTAGGGGAGTTGGGAGGAAGGGGTAGGCTGAGGGGCTGGGGAGCCAAGGAGGGTGTGGTGACTGCTCCCACTTTCTCATGCCTGCCTGCAGGAGTATGTTCTGTGAGCCGCCAGAGCCTGGATTTTATTCTGTCACAGCCCCGGCGTGGGCAGGCCGTGGTCATCCTGGTTGGGGGTGCCCAAGAATCCATGTATGCACTCCCAGGGGTGCATCAGGTTGTTCTCCAGAATCGCAAAGGCTTTGTACGCCTGGCGCTGAGGCACGGGTGAGAGGGGTGCGGGTGACCAGTCCAAGGCTGCTTTTAATGGTGAGAACTTCACAGCGCACCTTTGGGTGCACGCTCTCCATCCCTACACACCCGGGACCCTATAGATTGTTCTGCATCCACACTGGGCCCTATACCCGGAAGGTGCTCATGTCAGTGCTTGAGTGTTTACTCTGTGCCAAGCACTATGTCCACTTTGCAAGCTTCCTCCCACTCCAAGAGAGCCAGGGACATAGTACAAATAGCAGGGCACAAAACCTTCTCTGATACTATCTCAAAGGCAAGACCTGAGGCATGTTTCTTTACCTGTGAAAGAGTTAATACCTACCTTGCAATGGTTTGGTTGTAAAGACTAGATGAGGAAATGTATACATGAAGGTTCAGTACACAATCTTTTCTCAGGAAAGGTGAGTCCCTTTTTCCAGATTTTTCACAGTAGCCATTGTCATTTGCTTTAAAGGGCTTGGGAAGTGGAATTATGAGGTTATGCTGTTCTCTGGGGCTCCCATCCTTGGGGTACTCCTGGAGCTGCTGGCCCAACCACCCTTCTTCTCTATTGCCCTTCTTTCCCAGGGCCTCCCTGGTACCTGTGTACACCTTTGGGGAGAATGATGTCTTCAGACTTAAAGTTTTTGCCACAGACTCTTGGCAGTATCTGTGCCAGTCCATCATCAAGAAGTACCTGGGCTTTGCTCCTTGCATCTTCTGGGGCCGCAGTCTCTTCTCAGCCAACTCCTGGGGCCTGCTGCCCTTCCCTGTGCCCATCACTACTGTGGGTGAGTCCTCATCTCCAGAGAAGAAAGCTGCCATCAGCTGTGTGGGCACTTCTCACCTTGTCTGTCTCCCCTCTCCCTGCAGTGGGCCGCCCCATCCTGGTGCCCCAGAGCCTCAACCCCACTGACGAGGAAGTTGACCACTACCACACGCTCTACATGAAGGCTCTGGAGCAACTGTTTGAGGAGCATAAGGAAAGCTGTGGTGTCCCTGCTTCTACTCACCTCACCATCACATAGCCCTGGCCTTGCCCTGCCCCCCAGCTCCTGAGCTCCTAATCCCAGTGCACTGAAACCCCCCCCACCACCACCACCACCACCTACTGCTGGGTCTAGTCCTCCAATAAAAGCTAGTTCTCACCCAGCTGGTGTGCTCAGTGGTCGACCTATATGAACCAGGAGGTCACAGTTCGATTGCTGGTCAGGGCACATGCCCCGGTTGCAGGCGTGTAGGAGGCAGCTGATCAATGATTCTCTTTCATCTTTGATGTTTCTATCCCTCTCCCTGCCTCTCTAAAATCAATAAAATCATTTTAAAAAATAAATAAAATTAAAAAAACAAAAGCTAGTTCTCTTCCATCACTACTTCGTAGAATCGGATGCCTACAGAGCTGATGCTCTCCCTCTGGGAGTTAGCATGCCCAGGCATAATCAGCCCCCATTCTAACGTGCTAGAGTTGCTGCCTTAGATTGGGCATCAGGACCCTAAATTCTCCTTCCAGTGAAAATTAATTCTGTTGCATGACTGCATAAGTCTCTTCCCTTTTCTGGCCCCTTCTCCCTCTGTAACTTAAGGCATCTGCTTAGCTAAGAGCTGGGGGATATTTGGACTGAGTTTGGGAGGGTGGCTGCAGGAGGGTTAGGCTTTGAAGGGGAAGCAGGATTTAGGTGAGTGGAGAAGATAGTGTGGATAGTGGAATACTATGAGTAAAAGCTGAGCTTGGTCAAGGGTACCTGACAGTATAAAGAGTGGAATGATGCCCAGTAGTAGAAAGACAGTTAAGTACATAGCTTGCTTCTCTGTACTTCTTCCTCATCCTTAAAGTTTTCTTGGGGCTGGGAGATCAGATGAAGCAAGGATTTGTTTTACCATTATTAAGCCCTACCGCTAGCCCAGCATTAGGTCACCATTTACTCATTTGCTTAATAAGCATAAGATTATTGTGAAGACTAAAGAATTAAGATTTAGGGGCTTAGAACAGAGATAGGCAACACATGAGCCAATGAGAGTTGGCTATAATCATCATTGTCACTATAGTCAGGGTATGAGTCAAATGAGAGGATAAGGTTAAACAGCCTAAGGGTCCTTATGTGGTCTGACATTTGTCAGTCCTATTTGTTGACTGGCTTTGTGTCTGTATCCGGGCTTTAAACAAGAATAACTTGTTGGAATGTACTAGTAATTGGAATGCAACTGTATTTGTCTCCCACTTTCCTATAAAATTTATTCAATGGAAGAATTTTCTCTTGTCCCTGAATGAAAATCTGGGCAGTACCATGACTTAACTGGGTCATTTTCAGGAGAGAAGTTCTACATTCACTTTAAGTTAGTACATAGAAATGTTTAGTTCATAATCAACACTTGGATCTTGATTTGCAGCGGTTCTCAACCTCTGGGTCGCAAACAATGAAAATACATCCTGCATATCAGATATTTACATTACGATTCATAACAGTAGAAAAATTACAGTTATGAAGTAGCAACGAAAATAATTTTATGGTTGGGGGTCACCACAACATGAGGAACTGTATTAAAGGGTCGCGGCATTAGGAAGGTTGAGAACCACTGATTTAGGGGTAGAAATTTTCCCCACTCCAACCAGGGCTGGTTGCAAGTGGGCTGCCTGCTTGTCCAGAAGTAGCAGTTGGGGAAGGCTGAGTAGAAAGGGATGGGGTATACCTCTTTCTTCCCCCTCCCTTCCTAGCTGCTGTTATTGATCTTCATGGGGCTGAAGTGTGGGGCAGAAGGGAAAGGGGGCCCCAAAGTTGTTGATTGCTCTGTTATATATTCTCTGGGCCTCCAGAACCTCAAAGTCTTTCCCTTCTGGGTACTTTCATGGATTCTTCAGTTTTCCCTTTAAGGCCCCTCTGGCAGCTTCTGTACTTTCTCTACCTTATCATCTGTCCATGGTTTTCTGCCCATGCACTCGACAGGTTTCTCTGTAGGAGTTCCTTCACTCTTCTAGTTTGGGGGTTGGGGAGAGGGCTGGAATAAACCTGCTTTAGCCTTCAGCCTCCTTGGCTCCTATCCCCTTGGAGTGCAGGTTGGTCTCAATGCAGCCACTTGTTCTTCTTTCTGTCCTGGATGGAAGGTCCAGTCAGCCACAATCTGGCCACTGGATTTCTCTGGTGGGTACATCCCCCAAATGCTGGGACTTACCAAGCTCTTTGTGTCTTGAAGCCTTTTGTCACTGCTCTTGTTGAAGTGAGCCTTGCTCTCTAGGGGTAGGGCTTGCAGCCATCTAAAAGTCCTCCCCCAGCCCTGGCCAATGTTGCTCAGTGGTTAGAATGTCAGTCTGAGCACTGAAGGGTCTTGTGTTCAATTCCCAGTCAAGGGCACATACCTGGGTTGTGGATTTGATCCCCAGCCTCAATGCAGGTTTGTGTGGGAGGCAACTAATTAATCTCTCTCTCTCTCTCTCTCTCTCTCTTTCTCCCCACTCCTTCCCTCCCACTCTCTCTAAAAAGCAATAGAAAAAATATCCTGGAGTGAGAATTTTAAAAATAAATAAATAATAAAAGTCTTCCCCCAGAACGGGGTGGGGGAGGGGGGGGCAGACTGGATGAAAGTAGGTGAAGGGATTAGCCAAAGAACATATATACATAACCCATAGATATAGACAACAGTGTGTTGATGGCCAGAGGGAAGGTGGGCTGGGTGGAGGGGGGATAAAGGGGAGAAAGTGGGAACATCTGTAATAGCATCAACAATCAAAATAAAGAAATAAAAATATCATGCCCTGACTGGTTTGGCTCAGTGGATAGAGCGTCAACCTGTGGACTGAAAGGTCCCAGGTTTGATTCCAGTCAAGGGCATGTACCTTGGTTGTGGGCACATCCCCAGTAGGAGGTGTGCAGGAGGCAGCTGATAGATGTTTCTCTCTCATCGATGTTTCTAACTCTCTATCCCTCTACCTTCCTCTCTGTAAAAAATCAATAAAATATATTTTTTTAAAAAGAAAAATATCATAAAGATTAAAAAAATAAAATAAAATAAATAAAATAAAAGTCCTCCCCAGACCCTCTCTCCATCTCTAAACTGATTTTTGTCCCGGGTAAGGGGCTCAAGAGTTACTTCTCAACCATTTGCTTCAAAAAATGTGGCATGTAGTCTGATCTGACCCTTTTGGAATGGAGGACCAACTGGCCACCAAGAGCTGGAGGTGTGAGGATTAGATCACTGTGGGCCTTCCACCAAGAAGACCTCTGTTCTGCTTTCAATGTGAGCAGTGAGTGTCTCTTTCTAGAGTGGTGGGCTTGGGCTGGGTGGTAGGTGAGGAATGGGACCTTTGTGTGTGTTTGGGGCAGGGAAGAGGGGAGTTCATTCTCCTTAAGGCCCCTGTCTGAAATCCAAGACCAATGAAATCATGGTGCGGGGAGCAGATTGGCCTGAGGCTGGAGACGAATAGGAGAAGCCAAGAAGCTTACTTAAGAAATGGTGTTTGCCCAAGAACCAGAGATATGATAAAAAGGACAAAGTGCTCTCAGTACCTGAGAAGCCAGTAGGGCAAGGTTCTCAGGAAAGGTGCCAGGTCTGATCTTAGAGGAAGACTTGCGTGGGGACATTATCCTCCATGTGGAAACATCTGGGTTGGGGGAAAGAGCACAATACGAACCAGAAATGTACAGGGAGATCAAGATCAGGTTTCTGTCTCTGGGAGAGAGACTTGGCGTGAATATGTGAGTGTTGGGGATAGAATACAGCAAGTAGAATGTGTTGCTACTGCACAGTGTTGTGGAAAGATTATCGGGACAAGACATGGAAATGGCAACACTGGACAACGACAGGTGTGCCCCTCCATTAATATCCCTCCAGGATCATTTGGGTGAGATCAGTGCCACTTCCTTGTTCATCATGCCAGCTTGGCATCTTTTCTGTTCACTATGACAGGCCACGGGCAGCCTTCCCCCACCACCATCCACCTCTGAGTGTGCTGTCCTCCCCAGGAAGCCAGCCCAGACTAGGAGGAAGCCCTAGGATTCAGAAGTCCCTGCTCTGACTCCCAGCCTTTCCTGAGTTTCCCCAGGTGACCTCTGCTTTCATGCTCAGATCCTAGCCTCACTAAGGCAGAGGTCCTCTGGTCCCCATTTTCCCGGTCATCTGGTTTTCTAGCCTTCCCTTATCAAGCATCCATCTTGGGTGGGACTTGGTTTAAGACAGTGGTCAGCAAACTGCGGCTCGCGAGCCACATGCGGCTCTTTGGCCCCTTGAGTGTGGCTCTTCCACAAAATACCATGTACGTACAGTGCGATTGAAACTTCGTGGCCCATGCACAGATGTCGGTTTTTGGTTTTCGGCCTGGGCGAGTCTATTTTGAAGAAGTGGCGTTAGAAGAAGTGGCGGGTGTTGGTCGGTCGGGCCACAGGAGACGGCGCGGGGGAGGTACATTGTTTTGAGGTACGTTCGCTGAGGTTGACCCCTCCCAACTCTCCCATCCACACTTGTCTATCTGAAACAAGTATACAAGACGAGTGTGGATGGGAGAGTTGGAAGGGGTCGACCCCAGCGAACGTACCTCAATCAGATTGAGGACGTTTTTAGCAAAGGCCAGCTTAGGAGTACCCTAATTAAGTTA